CCCCCCCCGCCCCACCTCTCCTGTCTTCCGTCAGATTCCTCCTCCAGGGTCTCATACTTGATCCCCTGCCTTGGCATCTCTCTGCGTCTTTCCACAGAGTGCCTTCTCCAGAATCCCATTCTCGGCCGTCAGAGGTTCAGTCCTGGGGTTCTTTTCCTAGGTCCTTGGAATCTTGTCCATCTTCTCACAGACCGCCCCCTTTCCCTCAGGTCTTACCCTTTCCCCTCAGAATCTCCCCCGCTTGGTTTTTTCCATAGACCCTTTTTCTCTCCAGTCCCTCTGCCGGGACTTTCAATCTCACAAAAATGAACCGTTCTCGACTTTGTCTTTGCCTGCAATTCCAGCCTCTTGTCTCTACATTAAGAGGAACACCTGTCTGCACGGAATAAGATAGGGGATAACTTTCTATAGAGTGTGGGATCTGTCTGGGATTCCCGACATTTTATACCAAGGGATACGAGGTCTGCAAAAGTTAAGCAATTTGCTCAGGGTCTCAGAACTCGAAATTAGATACGGCTTGTGAGCCTGCTGACCAGTGATCATTCTGTTTTAGTACTAGGAAGTGGACATTTTTATAACAGGGCAGGGAGCAGAGGTAGTTAAATCCCAACAGGCTATTAATGGTGAAAATGTATTCGGATATTTGAGTTAACTTGTCTGAGAAGTACAACCAAGTTTTGTTTTGAGCTGGGTTATTGTAGTGCTGTGACAAATAAGTAAGTTGAATGCAGTGTCAGGAGAACAGCTTTTTGCAGACCAGAAAGCTTCTGTTCTTAGGTGCTGTTGGTTCTGACTCATAGCAACCCAATGTATAACAGAACAAAACGTTGCCCAGTCCTGTGCCATCCTTACGATAGTAGGTATGTTTGAGCCCACTGTTGTAGCCATCATGTCAGTCCATCTTGTTGAAGGTCTTCCTCTTTTTTGTTGACCCTTAATTTATCAAGCATGATGTCCTTCTTCAGAGATTGGTCCGTCCTGATAATATGTCCAAAGTAAGGGAGACAAAGGCCACCCTAGCTTCTAAGAAGCATCCCAGCTGTATTTCTTCCAAGACAGATTTGTTTGTTCTTCTGGCAGTCCATTCAATATTCTTTGCCAACACCATAATTCAAATGCGTCAATTCTTATTCCGGAAAGCTAGGATTGTGAGATTTGGAGCTTCCGATAAGTGTTCACTTCAGGTGAATCATTTTCATTCTTTGTGAATCAAACTGTTGATTGGTATTTAAAGTAAAGCAGGTATCATTAGAAAATAGTCAAGTCACAATTCCCAAAGCAGCAGGCTGGTAAGTAAGCAAGTGTTTTTTTTCTTTTCTTTTTTTTTTTTGCACAAGTAACAGTGCAGTAAAGGAAAAAAAAAAAAAATGGGGGGCGGGGGAGTTCTATATCTTTTAGTCCAGAAGTGTAGTATCTGTACCAGCTTTTAAGCATTTTTAAATTCTCCATTGATAAAATATTTCATTTTGGTGGTTGAAATTTGCCTTAGTTATCTAGTGCTGCTATAAAAGAAATATACCACAAATGGATGGCTTTTACAAACAGAAATTTATTTTCTCACAGTTTAGGGGACTAGAAGTCTGAATTCAGGGCACTTGCTTGTAAGGGAAGGTTTTCTCTGTTGACTCTGGGGGAAGGTCCTTGTCTCTTTCAGTTTCTGTTCCTCAGTTCCTTGGCGATCTTCATGTGGCCTGGCATCTCTCTTCCCTCATCTCTGCTTGTTTCTCTGCCTAGTCTGCTTGGTCTGTATCTCAAGGGTGATTGGTTTAAGACACACTCTACACTGATATGGTCTCCTTAACTTAACGAAGAAAAGCTTAGTCCCAAATGGAATTATATTCACAAGTATAGGGGTTAGGACACAATTCAATCCATAACAAAATTAGAGAGGTTTTATAACTATCCCACATCACTACTGTACTTTGCTGCTCTAGAAGCCAGTATTTTTTTTTTTTTTTTCAGAATTTTTAATTAGAAATGTGTGCTTGCTTACATGTACATAATTTTGGAAGGGTGCCAATACTAATTAAACTTTTAATTGAAGTATAACACATACTCAGCAAATCCTTAGATTATAAGTGTATAGTTCAGTGAATGATCTCAAAGCTACATGTCTGTGTAATGGCCATCCAGGTGCAAGTTTGTGTTTTCTTCCTTGTACTGTCCGTGTAAGTTGCTTACTTTTGAAATGTGGTGGAGTGTGCTTCTTAATAGTGTGCTCTTTTACACAAGAACATTTTCATTCCAAGGAGACAGACAGTACCATCTTTAGTTCTAGAAAGTACTCTTTAGACATTTATTTGGGAACACTTTCATCAGCTCCTTTTCTCGGCAGAAACTATGATGGTGCTTTCTGTTTTATTTAGAAAGTGATCCTCTGGGCTTAGCTACATCCCAGGCTAGACTTCCCATCACCCGTGCCTCAGGGCTGCATCCATCTGGTTGGGCAGCAGCAGTTCTGGCTCTCTGAGGACACTGCAAATCCCACTTCTTGCCAATGAAGACATGGCCCCCCCCATCCCTCTGACTGGAGCAGTGACCTCCTGTCAGACCTGTCAGCTTCAATGACACCTCCCCTCCGTCTTTGCACATCAGCTGACTGGCAGAAGGTCAGTCCAGCCCCGCTCAGACCCATTGTTTCATTAGCACTGAGGTGCTCAGAGGATGAGGGTGGGGATGCGCATCTGGGCTGAGCTGAGTTAGGGCCATTGGTCTTTGCTGGGATAGGCTCTATGGAACAGTGGAAAGGGAGTAATTGTGACTCTTGAACAAGATACTTCTCTCTGAGCATCAGATGACTTATCTAGAAAGAGCTATGTCCCAGGATTACTGTGAAAATTAAATGAGAAAGTATGGAATGCACCTGGCACACACTGTCTAGCCCCTGATTAACACTCAGCAGATGTTATTTTCTTCTTTTGAAAGGAAAAGTTTTTGGTTTTGTGAAATTTCCATCTTAAATTACAATCAGATAAAAATCTGCATAATGGGAATCCTAAAGTTGTCTGGTCCTCGGTTGTCAGTGTTCAGTGCCATTTCCAAATGTGTTGATTGTCAGTAATGTTTGTGAATTTGCCTTTTTACATAATTTTTCAGCAAAATGGCCGGTTAGACCAAGGAATTTGTTAACTCTTTTTCATTTCAGTGATGGTTTAGTTTTGAGATTTTCTTGTGTCAATTACAAGGAGTGTCCAAGGGCCTGGCAATCTTGGCAAGCCTGGCCTGCTGTTCAGGAAATTGCAGAGCCTGTGAGTTTGGGCACCCTGTCAAATAGTGCAAAGTAGGGTCAGAGCAGTGCCCCAGAAGAGGGAGGTCTTCTGCCCTTGTGTCCTTTTCCCAAAACTCCGTGTTTTTGTAGCTCATTTATTAATTTTATGTTGTGCCCCAACCCAGTTCTCTAGTTTACTTGCCAGTTTGTGTTCAGAGATAATAATGCTGATCATCCTTTGTGGAGACTAGTTTTGAAAAAAACGTTAGTATGAGCATGTCTTTTCTATACGGAATGCAAATGAGATTCATTGCTTTTTCTTCCCCAGAAAAGTAACTTTTGAAAAACAGTGGTTCTATCTGGATAATGTCATTGGCCATAGTTACGGAACCACCTTTGAAGTGACCAGTGGAGGAAGTCTTCAGCCCAAGAAGAAGAAGGAAGAGCCTACTTCAGGTGCGCTACTCTCAGTGTCTGAAACAGATGCTCTTGAACTGGCTAGTCAGAAGCATGCCACCGCAATTCTAGAGTGCAAGTCTGGGATATCCCAAAAGAAGTCTAAGCTCATAACCTAAGAACTGTAGCTTGATGAGATGGAGCAAGTACTGCCTTTGGCATTGAGAGACCAGGCACCTGGCTCTGGCATACCATTAACTGGCTGTCTGACCCTGAGCCAGGCATTTAATCCCATGACTTCTTGCTGCTGCTTCATCACAAGAGCTGTTCAGAGTCCCGTCAGTGCCCAGATGTTAAGTAACAGCTGCAAGGTAGTTAGCAGATAGTGTAGAGATTAAGAGGTCTGGCTTTGAATCCAACTGGCTAGATTTAAGTTCTGCTTCATCACTTGCCTGTGACTTGAGCAAGTTACTTGGTTCTTCTAAGCCTTATAGCCTCATCTGTAAAATGGGGCCATATATGACTTAATATTTGAGTTGTAGCAAGTGTTCAGTGATACTACACATAAGTTCTTACCAGTGTCTGGCATATGTAACCAGAGAAACCAAACTCATTGCTGTTGAGCCAATTCTGACTCATAGTGGCCCTATAGGACAGAGTAGAACTGCCCCATAGGGTTTCCAAGGAGTGGCTGGTGGATTTGAACTGCCAACCTTTTGGGTAGCAGCCGAGCTCTTAACCACTGCGCGACCAGGGCATATATAAGGGCCCCAAAATTTAGGTATTATTTTTAGTTAAAATACTATTAAAGTTTTAGTCTGTATTTCATTATCTGGTTACGTATTTATTAACGTACAGATTTTTATTATGCACCAAATATGTGCCAGGCATGATTAGGTGCTGGGATTATAGCGGTTCATAAACTGTAGCAGTTCATAATCTCATAAAATTTAATTACCAGTGGGGAAGACTGAAAACAATCAGGTAGACAAGCAAAGAGGATAATTTCAGATGGTGATACACACTAGGAAGATAATAAAGCAGGGAAGTGTGCTGGGTCCTGATTGGGTGAGTGAGACCGCCTTGGATGAGGGAAAGGATCCAGCCACTCTAAGATCTGTCCGGAGAGTGTTCCAGGCAGAGGAACAGCAGGTACCAAAGCTCTGCAGTGGGACTGTGCTTGGTGTGTTCAGGTAACAAGGACAATGTGGCTGAAACGTAGGGGTCATTACATGAGGCCAGAAAAGGTAGACAGTGGCCAGATTATATACAACCTTGTAGATTGTATTTGGAATATATTCTCATTGCAATGGGAATCCACTGTGTGGTTTTAAGAATGGAGTAGATGAGCCAATTTGCATTTAAATAGAGTACTCTGGCTTCCTGGTGCATGGTAAGGGAGCACAAGAGTGGGAGCAGTAAAACGAGGAGAATTAGAGTAGCAGTGGCAAGAGCCAGTGGTGCAGTGGTTAAGAGCTTGGCTGTTAACCAAAAGGTCAGCAGTTCAAGTCTACTAGCCACTCCTTGGAAACCCTGTGGGGAAGTTCTACTCTGTTCTGTAGGGTCACTATGAGTCGGAATCGACTCGACAGCAATGGGTTTGGTTTGCATTTTGGTGGTGGCGAGAAAGGATAGTGGACTGGGATGGGGGCAGTGGTGCTGGAAGGCCACATTTGTGTGGCTAAAGGGCTGCATGTGAAGATAGGCTTAGAAAAAGAAAATTATAAAATAATTTCAGATCATACATGTCATAGAGCAGTTTCCTTCCTCAGAGACTAAAGAAGCGGGTGTTGACAATCGAAATATAATCGATGATGGGAAGTCTCAGAAACTTACTCAAGATGACATAAAAGCTTTGAAGGACAAGGGCATTAAAGGAGAGGTAATATTCAAAGCATTTTTTTGTTTTGTTTGTGTTTGTTTGGTACTGAGGAAATTGCTTGGTTTTTGAAGTAGAATTTACTTAAGGTAACATGTAAAAATAATGTTAATGCTTTTGTGAGAAGTAGATTGATGTGTACATGCAATTAAGTATGTCAAAAATTTGTTTTCTTATGTGCCAGAATAGAAGTGAATGTTGCTACTGTTAGTCATAGGGAGTTTAATAACTTGGTGCACGTCAGAGCTTCACTGTTTATTTTCAGTACTGTTTGAATCCAGTGTCTTCAAGAACAACAGTTTCCTTTACCTCTCTTCCCCCTTCACTGCCTGTCTCTGTTCTTTTATCTTGGTGTAACACAAATTCTAGATAGAGTATAAAAATACAGAGTTCATCTATTTGGACTTCTGTGGAAAAGGGAACAGAGAATCAGACCTTTGGATACATCTAGGGTAAAAAAAACCTTTGAAGTTATTCATTGTGTGACAGGAGTTTCAGAAAATCTGCTTGCTGCTTTTCTTGTAGGAAATAGTTCAGCAGTTAATTGAAAATAGTACAACATTCCGAGACAAGACAGAATTTGCTCAAGATAAATATATAAAAAAGAAGAAAAAGAAGTAAGTAGCTTTTGTCTGAAAAGGGTGAAAACTGTTCCCAAATATTTTTTAACCAGTTTTTTAAAAAATTGGTGCTCTGTTTTTCCTTCCTTCTCCCAGATATGAAGCTGTTGTTACTGTGGTGAAGCCATCCACCCGTATTCTTTCAGTTATGTATTATGCAAGAGAACCTGGAAAAATTAAGTACGCTCTGTTTCCTTTCAAAAATATAATTGGGGGAAAACATATTTTTAAGAAAGTCGTGATTTTAAATAAAATGAAAAACTTTCTCGCCTGTATAAAGTGTTCTTCTATCTCATAAATTGTAAGTCCTTTTATTGTCACCTCCAAAGCAATCAGTAATCTTGTCACCATAATGTTTGTAAAACAGAAAAACAAACAAAACTTGAAAAATAATGATTAAAATAATAGGCTTTGTTTAGCTGAAAGTGAACAAATCCTTCTTGTGTTTCTCAGCCACATGAGATACGATACGCTAGCCCAGATGTTGACGTTGGGAAATATACGAGCTGGCAATAAAATGATCGTGATGGAGACGTGTGCGGGTTTGGTGCTGGGTGCTGTGATGGAACGAATGGGAGGTAAGAGTTAACATTTTCTGGTAAAACCCCAGCATGATGTGACTGGAGGTTCCAAAGAATTCAAACTCATGAAAAGCGATGTTGAGTTGCTGCAAGGTTTAATAAAATGCCCTGGGTGAACCTGCACAGCTGCAGGCTCTGGGACCTTCCTGCACAATCCATGTCGCCTGTTGGTGGTTGTCCTCTCCAGCTTCAGTATCGGTGGGAATGATTCTGGAGCCTGTGGCTGTCTAGGACTTCGGGGACGGTGACTTCAGGAATCTCCTGAATAGCTAGTGCCCATTTTATTGGCGCAAATTGAGAGGATCAGGCAGAAAGAATACTAGGGACGTATTCTCCCTGGAGGCGGTTGTCTGCTCTCCCTCTGACCACATGGAAGATAAGCATGATCGGGTTTTACGTAGTGTCAAATGGGCGTAGGCTTCCTTAAGACTCACTGTTTACCTGTTTGAGAATTATGTTATCTCCATTGAGGATATTCGTAGACTCCAAACAGACCCCCAGAGGAGCTGCGTTATCCTTCAGCCTCTGAACAAAGTAGACCTGCAGTTTTCTTACTGCAGAGGACTGGCTGAGGGTGGAGCTCTAGAGTCGCGTCCATTGTGCAGATGTTTGTTTCTTTTATTAAGGTTTCGGCTCCATTATTCAGCTGTATCCTGGAGGTGGACCTGTTCGGGCAGCAACAGCATGTTTTGGATTTCCGAAATCTTTCCTCAGTGGTCTTTATGAATTCCCTCTCAACAAAGTGGACAGTCTTCTAAATGGGACGTTTTCCTCTGAGATGTTATCTTCAGAGCCAAAAGACAGTGCTTCAGTGGAAGAAAGTAATGGCATAGTTGAGGAAAAGCAGACTTCTGAACAGGAGAATGAGGACAGCGTGGCAGAAGCCCCAGAGAGCACCCTCCCAGAAGAACAAGAAACAATGGAAATTGTTTCTGAAGATCCAGACTATAAGGAACCTAAAGAGAGAGGAAGCAAAAAAGATTATGTAAGAATGTCAAGAGTCCCTGCTACCCTCTCATAATACTCCCATCAAGTCCTCAGTTAGCTTCATTTAAGTAATGAAATTTGGTTAGGCTTTGGAGCATCATCCCCTAAGATAAATATCAAAACATTTGGAGAATGTGTGTGTGTGTGTTTTAATTTTTGGAGCTTTAGAACACAGAAGCATTATATAGGTAGCTTAATGATGAGTTTATAATGTTTAGACGTTTTTGTATGTTTTTAGCTTTCTTATAAACAATCTCCTGCTATGTCAGTCTGAGTTGATAAATATTGTTGACTTGTTTTGACAGACCGGCATTTCTGTAAAACTGACTGACCTGAGTACATTGGTTTCTTATTTTTCCCCTTGAAGATCCAGGAAAAGCAAAGGAGACAGGAAGAGCAGAGGAAAAGACATTTAGAGGCTGCAGCTCTGCTGAATGAGAGAAATGCAGATGGGTGAGTTGATGAAAACTGCAGGAGGCTTCTTGGTGCTTGTGGGCTCCCAGCAGATTGATGTTTTCTTCCTGCTTGTCTGCTCCAAATCTAGTGCAAGCAGAGCTGAGGATTCTGTCTTGGGTTTTTAAAGAAAGGAGGCTGGGTCTGGTGAAGGTGGGAAACTGTGCTGATTTAAGAATTTTTAGAAGAAATTTAAAATTTTTCCAGTGATGGTTTACTGGATGGGGAGGTGTAGTCCCACGAGGTGCAGGTGGTAGGTGTTTAAATTGCGGTGATACTGAATGGGGCAAGGGCTAATGAAAAACTTCATAACAAGAAGTACATTCGGATACCTGCAAAACTGTTATATACAAGTGTCAAATTTTCTTTTCAGATTGTTTTTTATAATGGAAGAGGTCACGGAATGGTGCTTAGAGTTGCCAAGCACCATGAGAGTTTATAGTCCAGTCTGTATTTCCTAGAAAGTAATAGGTCGTGATTTTTTTTCTGGTTTGAATTTATAGAATGTTCTATTTAAATTTCTTCTTTGTATGAGTCATGAACATAAATACATGATCATCTTAAATGCATTTTCAAACTTGTGCTTCATGTTGGTCTAACATTTTCCTTGCAGTTTAATTGTAGCGAGTCGGTTCCATCCTATTCCACTGCTGATGTCTTTGCTGAATTTTGTGGCGCCTTCCAGGCCATTTGTAGTCTACTGCCAGTATAAAGAGGTAATCCCAAAAGGGAATGGATGGGAACTTTTGCAAGTGAATGTTGATTCTCAAACTGCTGCCCAGGAAGTGATTCTTAACCAAACTCTGTTTTTGTCTTTAGCCTCTGTTGGAATGCTACACAAAACTGCGGGAAAGGGGAGGGGTCATCAACCTCAGGCTATCTGAAACCTGGCTCAGAAATTACCAGGTATGTGTTCTTGCGGCCAGTCCCAGGGGCAGCTCTCCTAGGTCCCAAGAAACTTGTAGTAATACTGGAACCTGTTAAAAGAGAGACAGCCCTGCTTCTGTCCACAGAGATGAGAATGTCCCATGCCTGTAACTCAGAGAAAATACTCCTGACCTATCCTGACCCTTTTTTCTCCTTTTATTATGGCAGAGTGTATTACTCTATAACTCCAGCCCAGAGGCAGTTAAAATGCAAATAGATGTAGTTCGTATTTCGCCAAGGCCTCGATATCACTCTGGGGGGAGTAATTGATAATAGCAAAATCCCCAGGTGGACAAGGAAGTGGCCCTCTTCTCTCTGTCTGCTGGGACATCTTTGTGGCAAGTTTTCAGGATTTACTGATGGGCTCTGTCAGTTCAGGTCCTTTGGGAGACATATGCCAAGATGGAGTTAGAAACATATGAGATTTATTAGGAGAAATGCCTTGGAGAGATGAGGGAAGGGGGAGCAGGAATAGGGAGGAGAGCTTTCAGACTGTGCTGCAGACCTTATGCCTATGAAAGGAGAGGAGAAAGGAAGAGGGCTGGGCAGGACGAGCCTGCAGTGCTGGTCAGGCTGATTGGAGCCCCAGAGCAGGGATTGCCCATTAGCAGAGCCCTGTGTCAGGCAGAAATGGGCCCGTCCTGGTACCCATGCTCACTTACTGCCTGGGAGCAGCCTATAGCCTCTCTCGATGTGGACACTGGCAGATCCCAGAGGCGCTGGAGGCTTTCCGCTTGCTGCCTGCTCTCCTCATGGCCAGTTCCTTCATGAAGGAGGGTCTGCAGGGAACACCTCCGTGGTTTGCTGGACCGCTTAATGACCATGCTGTTGTAGGGGCTCTGTGGGGCCTTGGTGAGCCTTCCCTCCATGGGGGTCTTCTTACTTTGCTATGGCAATGGGAGAGAAGAATTCTTGTCAGAGTTAGCAGGGTAACAGGGAATGGATGCACTGCGTATTTGTCCACTAACTACTCCATAGACCCAGGCTGCATTTGTAACCATGAAACTTCTTGGAGCCAAGAGGAAGGAAGCTGGGACAGGCCCAGAGCACTGCAGAAACCATTCATTCGCCCTTTCTTTACCTGAAACTGGCTTCAGGTTTCAGAGAACCAGGGCTTCCATTTTCTTTTTCAAAAGGGAATCACTCCGGCTGTTTCCTACACTTACCCGCACTGCCATGTGAAGGAATGAGCTCATTAGGAATCGGTCCGTTTGAGTGTTCAGGAGAATCTGTGTCTCCTGAATTCTGGTTTTGGCATATGTGATGTTAGCATATGCTTTGTCTGCTTAGGAAGACATGAGTCTCTTTCTGTCTTGATTAGGTTTTGCCAGATCGAAGTCATCCCAAACTGCTGATGAGCGGAGGTGGGGGGTACCTTCTCTCAGGCTTCACTGTTGCCATGGACAATCCCAAGGCAGACACCAGCCTCAAACCCAGCACAAGCACTTTAGACTTGAAGAAGACTGAGGAGCCAGCGGCTAAAAAACGGAAATGCCCAGAGTCTGACTCATAACCTTTAACAGATAGCTTTGATTTTTGTTCTCCGGCATTGTACAGTTAGTAATTAAAATTTAAATGCCATTACTGATGGTTTTTTTCATACCCTAAGAATAAGAATGTGTCCGTACATCTGTTCTTGGTAAGGAAGAGAAAACCATTTGTCCATCTCTGACGCAGATGGATTCTGTCTGTCGTAACCTCGAGCCAAAAATACCCAACCCTGGGGTCTGCAGTGGGTATGGCCAATTGCGTTCTATTTAACAAAAATTCTCCAAGTATTTCGTGCAGATATCTTGAGAATTTAGGCATCCTGAAACTCTATTTATACAAGACTTTGGAATAATACAGCATACCTAAAACTTGGTGGTACCGAAAGGAAAGAACTTGTGGAAGAAATTTCCTCTGTGCATTCTGTTCCTTTCAACCTAAGCAATATGGGTGTGTGAGTGTGTGAGATTTACAGTACCAGAAATTTCCACCATGTTCCCTGCAGTGTTTATATTCTTTTAAAATGCTAGGTTTTATCATTTTAATAGTAGACAACCTGGGACGGTTCTGAGTATTTTACTGCTTTTTTTGTGCATAGAAGGGTATGGTAGGGTATTTTTTCTTTTCTTTCTTTTTTTTTTTGCGTTAATTCACTAATCCTCTCATTTTTTGTTCCAAATAAAGTGACTAGGATTTTTGTATAGTATTCAATTGAAGGAAATGGAAACTTTTTTTTCCCCTCCCCAGAGACTTATGGAGATTATATATATATATATATACATACACACATATGCACACACACACGTAGATAAACACATGGAGACAGGATATATTAATGTATATTAGCTGTGACAGTTTTGTGCAGGACTTAGACTAGTAGTTCTCATTGCATTGGTATCACTCTGTCAAATGTATTTTGAAGTGCCTTTTTTGGTGATTATTAATGCTGGTCTGTTGAGCTCTGGCATGATTCGGTGGTTAGCCTTTCTATATTTTTTCTCTAAAAATATGTATTTGAATTCTTGAATCATCTGCTACAGCAAAGCCCAGCTTCCTAGTTGGGTCTCTTGCTCACTAGAACAGGCTCATCGTGTGTATTGTTCACGTCATCACAGAGCAGATGAAGATCAGCCAGCCAGGAGCATCTCAGAAAAAAAACGGTTTTTCCTACTAGCATGTACGATTCTGATAATGACAGTGTGATTACCAACAAGTACAGTTTTTATTCCTTTTTCTTAATTGCTTTGAAGAATAAAAGCGTTCCTATTATGATATGTCTGATTTACATTAATGGTGCAACCAGCGATGCCCTGTTGACTGGCTTTCAGCCGATTGTGACACATGGTCTGTGGTTGAGAGAACACACCTGGATTGGCACTTCCCTGAACATGTAACTGCAAACAGTTGTCACCCACGTACAGCCAGTCAAGTTTGGTCAAGAATACAGTAACTTATGCATAGACTGGGCTCATTAGTGGCTGCTGTCCACTGGTCACTCATCAGAACTCCTACTTGGGGCTCGACCCGTTTCCAAGTCTCATCCCATTCCCTAAATCCTTCGGGTCAGTCCCCTGAGGGAGAGGTCTGGGGCCTGAGCTGCCAAGGCCCTGGTGTGCCCACCTAGTTGCCCCCGGATATGACGTGGACTCATTTCACCGGCACCAGCGGCAGCAAGTCGACCTGTTATTTTTTCTCACTCATATACTTTATTTCACCTGTGAGCACTGAGGATTTAATTCAGTGGTTCTCAAATCTAGTGCGTACCAGAATCCCTGGAAGGCTTTTTCAACGCAGTTTGATGGACCCTGCCCTCAAGTTTCTGATTCGGTGTGAGGTGGGGCTGAGAATTTGCATTTCTAACAGCTTCCCAAGTGATTCTGGCACCTGTCCAGGGACCATACCTCGAGAACCACTACTGTATTTGCACCTACACCATGGGCACAGCGAATACAGGATGTTTTTGTCTTGTTTGTAAAATGGCCATCCACCTTTGGAGCAGAAGAATGGGTAAGTAAGTGACTTCTGGACATCTAGCCATCAGGGAAGTTAATGAAATTTCACTTCAGTGAGCAGCAGTCAAAAAAGTAAATCATTTCATAACATCCATCCTGTTTCTTCCTTGGATTTGAGTGCTTGGGAGTATACAGTGATGCCCATTAAAGGATTTTTTTAACTTAGAAGTACACTAAAATTGCATGAAGCAAATCTTATTGGGCAATCATTCACTTACTAGTTGTAAATGGAAAAGCCAAAAATAGTGGGGATTTTTTCTATATAAGAACTTTTTTTTAAGTAATTAAGATGTTTGCATTTTGTTTTAAAGTATTGGTTTTAATATTATAAGAACAATACAAAACAAGAAAAGTCCAAAAGTCATTAAGATTCATGTGGGTTTAAACGTCTCTGATTTGGGAATTATTTAGTGCAGTGCAGGAAAGGACCTCTGTATCCACCTTTAAGTGAGATTTAATGTTGCCTCTAGATCAGTAGTGTTAATTTTTGTAAAAAGAGTTACAGGTTTTCTTTGTTTTAACTGTGTAGCACATGTCAAATGGCAAAGATGTGTAAGTCTAGGAGTAGCTACTTAAATAGCAGCTGATAACTGTTGCATTAACACCCACTGTTTTTTAACCCTTTATAAGGAAGGGCAAGATCTTTGAAGCACAGGAAATTAATATCATATACCTTTTTAAAAAATTATTTTGGCCTCTTTTACAATTCCATTAATAGCTTGGGCTTTTGGCATTGAGCTGAGATACCATTAAAACAAGAATGGACTGTACACCAGTGTTCTGTGCAGACCTTGTCATAATAGCCAAAAGGTGGAAGCAACCTAAATGTCCATCAGCAGGTGAATGGATAAACAAAAGGTGGTATATACATACAATGGAATATTACTTAGCCGTAAAGAGAAATCCTGATGCATGCCACAGCAGGGATGGATTTTGAAAACACCATGCTGAGTGAAATAATTCAGTCGTGAAAAAACAAATACTATGTGATCTCACTTATATGAAATAAGCAAATATGTAGAAACCAAAGATTATTAGTGGTTATCACGGGTAGGAGAGAGGGGGAAAGGAGGAGTTTTTGCTTAGAGGGCATTGAGTTTGTGTTAATGGTGGAATATTTGAAAAGGATAACAAGGATGGTTGCACCTCTTGAAGGGTGTAATCAATGTCACTGAAGTGTACATGTAGAAATTGTTGAGTTGGCTTATGTTTTGTGTATATTTTCACCACACGCATAAAAAAAGACCTAAGCCTCTAAGTTATGAAGGTTAAATGAGAATGTGTGAAAAAAATTTTCCCATAGTGCCTAGTATACAGTTAAAGACTCAATATAATGGTTGCCATAATTATCGTCATTATTGTTTAGGGTTTTGTCTAGCATGTGTTGGAAACCTCTATTTTGTTTGAATATACAGCAGGAGAATACAGTGTACAGACAGACAATGGGCTGTGGAGCTGGTACCCAGCAGCTGTGAAACTCTGGGCAATTATCCTCTTTGTGCCTCAACTTCTTTATCTGAAAAATGGGAGTAATAATAATACCTACCTAATAGGATTAAATGAGTTAATATGTATAAGGTGCTTAGAACTGGGTCAGGCACGTAGTCATCACTCAATAATTGCCCTCTGTTAGGGTTGCTATGAGTCGGAATCGACTCGACGGCAACGGGTTTGGTTTTTTTTGTTTTTGTTTTTTTTTTTTTGGTTATTACTAAAAAGGAAGAAGAAGAGGAAGACTGGAAAGATTTTGGCATTTCATTTTCACATTGACAGAAAGATGACACAGGTGCTAAAGAAATCTTGTTTCAAAATGTGGGTAGGCTGAACATGTTGGGTGTTTGGCCTGCTTAGTGTATCATTCCAAACCAACAATTTAAAAAAGAATAGCAGAGAAATTAATCCAGAGGGTGGGGAAATGATAGCAGTAGATTTTTGCTTTCTGGAAGGACTTTCCCCAATCAAATGCTCAAGTAGGTAATGTGGCAAGGGATCCTCTCACAATTCTTTTCCATCGCCTGTGAGCTGACACAAGGTAATAGCTACATGTGATGTTAGCGAAAGCCATAGGTGATGTTCAAGGGAGGAAGAGGGCAAAACTAAGAAAGAATAGTACTGACTTCAGCCAGAGGTCAGCGCACTACAACCCGCAGGCAAATCCAGCCCACTGCCTGTGTTTGTTTTTCTTATTGTGGTAAAAATAACAAAACAATGGACAATCCAACAATTTTTACATGTACAGTTCAAAGACATTGGTTACGTTCATCGTGTCATGCAACCACTACCACTATTCTTTTCTAAATTTTCCCACCAGCATTAACAGAAACCAGTGCCCCTAAGCAATGACTCCCCCCCTCACCCTCTGACCTCTGGTAACCACTAACAAGCTTTTGTCTCTATACATTTGCCTATTTCATATAAGTGGGATCATTCAGTGTTTGTCCGGTTGTGACTGACTAATTTCACTCAGCATAATGTTTTTAAGGTTCCTCCTTGTCGTCACATGTATCAGGATTTCATTTCTCTTTATGACTGAGTAATGTCCCATTGTATGTATGTACCACATTTTGTTTATCCATTCATCTGTTGATGGACATTTAAGGTTGGTTCCGTCTTTTGGCTACCAACCCACTACCTGTTTTTGTACGGCCTGTATAACCATTTACCTTTTTAAATAGTTGTGGGAAAAGGCCAAAGAAGAAAACTTTTGTGACTTGTGAAATTAAATGAAATTTAAATGCCAGTGTCTATGAATGGAGTTTTATTGGAACACAGTCATGCTCATTTGTTTGCGTATCTATGGCTGCTTTTGTGCTACAAGGCAAAGTTGAAGAGTTGTGACAGAGACCATATGGCCCTCAAAGCCTAGAATATTTGCTGTCTGGCACCTTAAGAAAAAGTTTACTGACTGCTGATTTAACTGAGACAATAGGGACTGTGGGAGAATGGAATGAGAGGGCAGCACATTGGAACAGCCATAGTGGAGTGATCAGCAACGAAGGATGTCATGTGAAATCCAGAGCCCCTCGGCCCCCCAGAGCTGTTAGCAGGTTTGACAGGGTCGGCCCCTCTCCTTGCAACATTCTTCCTCACTTGGCTTCTAGGGCTCCACTGTCTCCTGGTTTCCCCACTGCCTTTCTGGCCTCTGTCTCTTTGCTGGTTCCTCTCCAACTTTGAGACTTCTAAACATTGGCTGCCCTAGGGCTCAGTCCTTGCCTCTCTTCTCTTTTCTGTTTGCACTTGCTCCCTAGGTTGACTTCACCCAGATTCAAAGCTTTAAATGCCTTCTCTATGATGATGACTCCCGTGTTGTCTTCAGCACGCACCTTTTCCTTGAGTTCCAGGCCCACACACCCAACTAAAAACCTCCACATCTCAAACTTACTAGGTCCAAGCCTGAGCTCCCCCATGTCAGCCTTCCCAAGCCAGCCACTCCTGCGGTCTTCCCCGTCTCTGGTCTTCCCCAGTTGCTCAGGCCAAAAACCTTGTCATCGACCTTGACTCCACTTTCCCTCATACCACCCCAAATCCGTCAGCCCTACCTGTCAGCTCCGTCTCCAGAACACACCCAGAGTTTGACTGTTTCTCTCCACCTCCAGGGTCACCACCCTAGTCCAAGCTATCATGGTGACCCACCAGGATTACTGCATTGCCTCCTTACTGGTTTCTCTGTTTCTGCCCTTGCTTCCTCTATAGCCTGCTCTCATCCCAGCAGCCAGAGTTTGTTAAAACGTAAACAGTTTATGTTAAGACTCTGCTCAGAACTCTCCAATCATGCAAAAGTCCTTACCAGGACCCAGAAAGCCCTGCGTCATCTGGCCCCTGCCACCTCTCTAGCCTTACCTCCTATGACTGTCCCCACACTGGCTTCCTTGCTGTTCTTTACATACCAAACACTTTTGCATCTGCTGTTCCCTCCACCTGAAGTGCCCTTTCCCCAGGTGTCCACACAGCTCACGCCCTCACTTCCTTTACATCTTCCACCAAAAGACACTTTCTCTGTGAGGCCTGTTGTGCGTCTGGTTCCTGGGCTGTGCAGTAGTAATTATTGCAGTTGTTTAATTATTTTAGCACCCAAGATCTCCCGAGTATATTATGGCATGTTGTCTGTTGTAATTTTGTGACGATAGGACCTGTCCTGTCTCTGTGCTGTAACTCCTCCTTGATAAAATATGAACTACTCTGACAATTAAAATATTCAAATAAGAAGAAAAAATTGCTACGATAACTACAGGTGGCTGCATCTACAGAATAATTTTGGGGGAGGGGACAAAAGAATTTGGGGGGATGGGGACAGAGGCCAATTGTTTCTCATTATAAGCCTTTTGGGACTACTTGATTTTAAACACATTTTTATTAAAAAGAGAAAAAGGCAGCGGCATGGGTAGTTCTTGATCTTCCTAAAGAAATAGTGACATCCCCAGAGGTTGTTATCTACACTCTGACTGGGCACCAGGGTCAGGGCAGCAGGGATTCTCTGAGGTCCCCTGCATCCTTAATAGGACATATGTGCCTGCACAATTCCTTGCCCCAAGGTGTTTCCAAACTAAAATGAAAAGATGCACTAGTGTGCAGGCCATCACTGAGGCCGTGTGCAGGAGGAAGCCGTGTGGACCATCTCCAAGCTGGGGGACGGCATGCTGTGCTGTGCTCCATCTGCCAGCAGCCTCTCACGCGCAGCATTGGCTGTGTGTGTGTGTGTGTCATTTACCCTTCTGGCATTCGGTGCATTGCAGTATTTTGCCCTCCTGAATTGAGCAAACCCTTATTCATCTTGGAGCCCTAGAATTCTTTTTATTTAGGAAATGATTTTATTTTCTACTAGGCTGCGTTAGAAAAAAATGCAGAGACATACTGCCTTGTATGTGAGTGTGTGTTAAGTATTTCACAGGATCTCATATCAGACAAGGGGTTTCAACTGCCATATATTAGTCACTATAATCCAAGCCTTGCCTTGGGATGGTTTCTTAGTTTGGGGTCCCCCAGAAGCAAATCCCAAGACGAAGTTTAAGGACATGGAGTTTATTTGGGAGGAGACACCAGTAGGGAGTGAGGAAGCGGGATAGGGAGGGAAAGGTAGCCAGTAAAGGGTGCGTTAACCAGCAGGTCTGGAGTCCCTGGATGGTGCAGTTAACACGCTGGGCTGCTAAACAAAAGACTTACTTCTTATTTTATTTAATTTTTTTCCTATCCTGCATTCAAAAGACCAACAAATCCTAGTGCCATCTTCCAGAATTTACTTAAAAGGATGGATTTGAAAATCACCCTTCTCCCTAGTAGCCCAGAGGAAGCTGAGAACAAGGAAACTTTTAGTCTCAGGCAAATCTTTTAATTATTTCAAACTGAGATAAATATATTTTTTCAAGGACAGTATCACAGTCATCGTCACAAGCATGTTAACGTGTCTATTTTGCAAGAAAGTATATGCTGCAAGTCATGCTATTCATTTCAATAGCATTCTGGCAAAAATTAAAGACATTTTCAATTGTGTCAAATGCTTAATGAATAGTAAATTCTACTTTCTGCCTTTGGGTAAATAAATGGTGCCTTTCAGTGAAGTGGTGGAAAGTAACGTGAGGGCTGCTGCTTTAAACTGCCCTTTGCTCCGACGACCATCAGCCCCTTCGGTTACCACTAAACTTCTTAGCTATCTTCTGTAGTTCCAAATCCATCGCAGCCAAGTTTTCAAGTTCTCTTTCCTGGAAAATACAGAAAAGTGGAGACATGAGGTCCTGGATCCATTTATTTTGCTACAGTTTGAGGAAGTATGAACAGAAAGGGGAATTTTAGGTGAGCAACACTGTGGAACTTGTTAGAAATGCAGATGCTTGGGCCCAACCCTTGACCAACTGAATCAGAAACTCTGGGGCCTGGGAATCTGTGTTTTCACAATCCCTTGTGAGTCTGATGCACATTCAAATTTGAGAAGCACTGACCTACACAATATTAGGGGAAAAACAGTTGTTTGGGCCGGTACAGCTCTGATAATGTTACCTCTCCCAGATTTAAATTTCTGATTGTCCTAGAGCATGAATAGTCCCTTTCCTCCGAACTTAACAAGAGCAGAGAAAGATAGAACAAAACAACTAGTTTCTTTTTTTGGTTCCATTTGTGGGTTTTTTTTTTAATTGTGCTTTAAGTGAAAGTTTACAGCTCAAGTTAGTTTCTCATACAAAAATTTATACACACATTGTTATGGGACCCTAGTGGCCAAAACAACTAATTTCTATATCACCTGTTCTCCTACCCTGGGAGATACTGATGAAAAGTCACATGACCAAGGAGAAACCACCAGAAGAATGGTTGTCAACCTTCGCTAAACCCTGGAATCACCTGGAAGCTTTAAAAACCCTGAAGCCCAGGCAGTACCCAGTCCCAATTAAGACAGAATCTCCAGGGGTGGGTCCCAGGCACTTCCCCCCACCCCCCACCCCAAGCTCCCCAGGGGATTCCAATGTGCAGCCAGGATTGCAAACCATGGCACTAGAGGGAGGTGGGCAGGTATGTGAACAATGGCTGGAAACCAATCCCAGAGGTTGTCTTCACTCCACTATTAGGGGCACATTCTCATGGTGAGTTAATCCTTTCCATCAGTTTCCCCATTAATACCAGATAGTCTTGGACATCATTTATTAACATCGACAATGTTAATTTCAAACAAAAGCCCAAAACTGTACCTCTTCCTCTGTCAGCACTCTCTGGTCGACCCCGTCGTCATTTTCTGCTGCTTGGCGGGTGCTCAGCTGCTCCTCAGAGTCATAGAAGTCCGGAAATTCAGCTGCCTTCTTCCTGTAGTGTAGGAGCTGGTCCAGTTCAGCCACTCTGTCATACTGCCTTTTGAGATCCAGCTTGGGGGTCCTGGCGAGGTTTCTCTTCTCATATCCCCAGTTCACATCCTCCCCATAGGGTTTTTTCTCCCACCAGTCGTAGTTGTATTCTGGGAAGAAATTTTTCTCATTCGAGGTCAGCTCATTTTCCTCTTCACCCTCAAGAAAATTGTCATCCATGTTGTCCTTTCTCTCAAAATGGCTGCTTTTCTGCTGGATAGGGTCATAGTATGGGTTGAACAGCTCCCCTAATCGCTTTCTCTTTTCAGCAGTGTGATGGGGAGCATATTGTTTGTCTTGAAGTCTAGCTTCTTCCCTGCTCTCTTTAGTGTCTTGCAGGTCCTCCTGCTGCTGCCACTTGCCTTGGGCTCCTTCACCATTGGCCTCACCATAGTTGAGGTAATTTCTCTCCTGCTCTTTCCACTCACTCTGTGGCTGTCTCTTTGCCTTGTCCATCTGGCTTTCTTGAACATGGTGGTATCCTTCTCCCAAGAACCTTTTCTCTTCTCTGGTGTCAGGAGTGGAATAGGCACTTGGCTCCCCTCCCCTGCCTCTGTGATGGTGTCCCTTTCCCCCTTCATAGCCCCTTACTTCCTCACTGTCTTCACTATATCCATGTGCCATGTTGTCAAGCTCAGAGGTGAGGTGATTTCTCTTGTCCTCCTCCTCCTGGCTCTCCTCACTGTGAAGCCTTGGTGCCCTGTACTCCTCACCTCCTCTGCCTCCATATCTTTCTCCCTCCAGGTCCTCAGGAGCCTGAACAGCTGGATAATTCCTCACTTCTTCTCCATATTCGGGTTCTTCCTCTGAAGCCCTGTAGTGGGTTGAATGGTGATCCCTCTTTTCCCCTAACCTGGCCATGCCCACGTTTGACTCCTCAGATCCTTCAAGAGAGTGTCTCCTTTCCTCAGAGGGAAGCTTCCCTTCTTGAAAGGACCTGTCAGGCCTGCTTCTCCCATGGTGGTGTTTTGGCCTCAAGCGTCGTTTGGCCACCTCAGAGGTGGCATCTTCCTCACTCTCCTCAGATTCTTCCTGGCTCCCAGGTTGGCTTTTAGACTCTTGGGGGCGTTTCCCCTGGCTCCTTCCCACCTCCTCTCCACTCTCCTGACTGCTCTTCTCCCGGCTGTGTGTCTGCTCCCGGCTGTGTGTCTCTTCCTCAGAGGGCCTTGCAGAGTGTTGGTCATATCTGGCCTCTCTATTTTTAACCGTAGCTTGGTTTCTTTTGTTGAGAAAGGCACTTTGTGTCCCTTCTGACTCTCCAAGGTGTTTCTCTTCACTGACATCTCCCCCGTGCTCCATTTTCTGATATTTCTCTTCTTCCTCTTCCTCCCTGCCCTCTTCCTCACTCTTCTCAGAATGGTGTGTCTTTGCTTCTTTGGAGACTTGACTGCCAGAGGGATAAAGGCTCCCTTGAAGGTCACTTGCTTCCTCTCTGCTGTGCCCACCTCCCTCTGCCCATTTCTCTTTGTCTTCCTTTGTTGGGTCTTGGGTGTCTTCTTTCCCTGGGGCTCCCGCTTCCTCCCTACTGGAGGGTGTGTGGACTTCTAAAGAGTCAGTTGAGTCTCTTAACAATCTTACTTCAAACTTTTTGTTTTCATTTTCCTCTTCATCTTTGACCTCTTTTCCACCTATAATGAATGCACAAAAAAGTATAACTTCAAAATTGCTTGTGGTTCAATAATTACTAGCCTAGGTAATCACTACACCCATTCTTCACTTCTTATCTCGTTATCTGACATTTTTGCATTTATGACATAGTAAAAAATCTACTATCTGACTATTTTGCATATTAACGACGTACTCTGGCAGTAACAAACACAGAAGTGTGAGGCGAGAGTAACACTGGCTGTGATAGTTAAGATTATGTGTCAACTTGGCTGGACCACGATTCTCAGTGGTTTGGGAGTTATGTAATGATGTAATTTGGAAGTTACGTACCATATTTTTATACAAATAACACTCACCTTCTGCGTTTGTTTGCCCGCCGTGCCCTGCTCCCCCCATCCCCCCACGAGGCACCCTCACAAGCACCACCATGCCAATCTTCTTCCATATGTTGCTATTAAAAAAAACCAAAAATTAGTATAGCATGCTTATGAAAATACCTCATGGGGGTATTTTCACAATCCTAAGGACACTGAAAATTGCTAGGATAATTTTTTAAGTTAATAAAGAATATACTCAGATTCCTTTGAAAAGCAAGTGGTATGAAAGCTTCTTGGCTGCATTTAAATCTAATGATAAACTCTCTACATTTCCATGTTTTCATAATACTCAACTAGCATCTTTCATTGGCGCTATCAGGGATCAAAATGAAATCCAGAGGTGGACTTATGAAATACTACAATTTAGAAACAGAAGAAACCTTAGAATTCATCCAGTTCAACCTTCTCTTTTTGCAGATGAGGACACTGAGGTTCAAAGATGTATAATTCTGGACCATTCTTTCCATACTTACTCTAAAACCAAAAAAAATAAAAAACCAAACCTGTTGCTGTCAAGTCTAGTCAAGTTGATTCCAACTGATAGCAACCCTATAGGACAGAGTTGAACTGCCCCACAGAGTTTCCAAGGAGCGACTGGTGTATTTGAACTGCTGACCTTTTGGTTAGCAGCCCCTACTTACTCTAAGTAAGGGGTGAAAAGTTAGCTTGCGTGACTGGCTCTAACTACAATCTAGCTAAACAGATTTAGTTTGATAGCAAAAATGGGAAATACTAGGGTTCGATGTGGGTATTTTTTTTAATTTATATTAATATTTTATCAGTTTTTATTATCTACTGTGTAGAGTCAATCTAGCAGTGACAATGACAGTAAATGACAATAAAAAGGGTGTAAATTTCTTCTATGAGAAAATGGCACAACAGTAGGAAGGACAATTTTTTCCTTCACTCAGGTCCTATTCACCCAACATGTTCTCAGATGTTGAGGAAAAAGGACGAACTTCAGTATTCTGAGGTATCTTTGTGCTTCATGAGTCCACAGAAGATGTAACAACTGATATTTTAATTAAATATTTTTCTCCTCTGCCTTTTCCAAAGGTTGATAGCTCCTTTACTAAATTTTCCTTAGCTCAAGGGTGCCCCATGAAAGGAAAAATGCAGCTAACACTTTCTGAGTTCTTTACTGGTAGGGCTTGGATACCACTTACGTCACTGAGTTCAAATAGAAAGCCTGAAGCTCAGCCCGTTCTGGGTCTATATCTGTGCCGTCCAATAGGAGAGTTACCAGCCTTTTGTAGCTACTGAGCACTTGAAATCTGTCTAGTCCAAACTGAAAATGTGCTATAAGTGTAAAACACACACCAGATTTTGAAGACTTTGTATGAGAAAAAGAATTTAAAATACCTCAATAATGGTTACATCAGTTACATGTTGAAATAACATTTTGAACATATTGAGCTAAGTAAAATATATTACTAAAATTAGTTTTACCTGTTTCTTTTTACTTTCTAATGTGGTTATGAGAAAATGTGAAATTATATTTGTGGCTTGCATTATATTTCTGTTGAACTGTGCTGATGAGCCATCTTGAACTAATATTTGCAAAATGGAAAAAAATTGATCGGTTTTATAAAAATGTCCTAGAAGTAGTGGATCTGTCTGCATCTCTCTGCTTAAAGCTCAGACTGGTATGCTAACGTTCTCAGGTCTTATAAGGCAACTGGAATGTTCCTGAACTTTCACACCCAGCCATCTGAGGGCTAGCCCATCCATTACCAGTTCCTTTTCCTCTGCAGAGCCAGTGGCAGTGTTTACAGCATTGGCAGGAGGCTGGCCAGGTGGGCATGGGTAGGTGGAAGCTTTGAGCAGATATGATGTCATTCTGAGAGCCAGCGGAATGAGAGCCAACCAGGGGTTTGGCTTCCCGGGCCAGAGGCGAGGTGGCCCCTTTCCTACTGCCTGCTGGTATGTGGGGTCTTAAGTGTCTTGAACAGAAGTACTTTTATTTTTTCCCTGTTAATTGTGTATTGCCTGTAGCAGCTTGTACCTTGAAACTTAGCACTTCTTGCTAACTTTAGCTTTAAGCCCACGCAGGTGAGATTGGAGGAGGGCTGTGGTTAGTGGCACACAGTCATTGCCAATCTGTAAAATAAGGTGTGAAGCTCACTTTTACTTTCAAGTAAAAAGGAGAAATGCACCCCCATCCCTAACTCAAGTAAAAAGAAGGAAACGTACCGTCCATCTGTAACTGTCTTGCTGTGAGGATGACCAGGTTAACCTTGGCCAAAGGGATTCTTGTACCTGTTAGAAGTTGGATTACATGCTCCCTAAGGTCTCTTCATTGAAACCCTGGTGGCATAGTGATTAAGAGCTATGGCTGCTAACCAAAAAGTCAGCAGTTCGAATCTACCAGGCACTCCTTGGAAACCCTATGGTGCAGTTCTACTCTGTCCTTTAGAGTCACTATGAGTCAAAATCAACTCGACGGCAAGGGGTTTGGGTTTTTTTTTTAAGGTCTCTTCGGGCCATAAAACTCTGTGGTTCTTCCCTACTCCCCAAATTCTCATTTGCTAATAAATGCCTACTGGCTTATGAGAGTGGGAATGGCGATGGGGTGGTGCGGGAGGAAAGCCACAGGACGGAATTCATTGATCCATTTGACCAAAAGCTCCACCAGTCTTCTGAGAAGCTTAAGCCATACCAGCAGGAGACAGAAAATGAGACTAGGACAGAGGTTGCAAACTGATGGCCCAGATGTGAGTTTTGTTTGGCCTAAAAAACATTTTAAATAAATTCAAAGAAAATATTAATACTAAGGAATGTCATTTAAAATCCAAACTTAATAACTTTTGAAAAATCTGGAAACGGAGTCTATTTCTCCACAATAGAGTTGGAGCTGAGAAATATCTACTCCCTCTCCGAATGGGCATGTGCCTCCAGTCTGGGAGTCACTTCCTGTCCTGCCTCCTTTATGTTATCTGTCTGGTCCTGGCTGGTGTTTGAGTCTGCAACCCTGGAGGAAGGAACCCTTAAACCCTCCCCATCTCAGCATTCTATTGCTCTCTGAGTGTATCTCCAGAGTCCTTATAAACACGTGTCCTTTGATTTGTCCTTTGAACTCCATCATCGAGTTCATCCCCCTCATTTTACTTTGAGGAAATAGGCCAAAGAGGCAAGGGGTCCTCACCAGGGTCACACAGCTACTAAGTGGCAAAGCAGGGACTAGAAGCCATATCTTCTGTCTCGTAGTCTAGTCAATACCCTTCCCACTGCATTATGCCCCCCAGTCCATTTGGAAGCAAAGTGGAAGGTGAAGTGGAAGGAGCGGGAGCAAGAAGCACTGCAGGGACACAGATCTGCCTGCAGTGGGGATGCTTACTCTTCTTCAGGACTTGGCGGCACTCAGAGGTGATGGGCGGAGCGTTGGACTTCGACAGAGCATTCAAGAGGACCTCAATGATGCAATGAGTCACCTGGAGGAAAACCCGAAAGCAGGTTGGGAAAAGCTGGGGCCACTGGCAGGGCAGACTGCTCAACTCAGAGCTGCTGTTGAGGGAGGTTTGACTATGTGACTTGAGCTGATGCAGAATCCTTAGGACAGGAATACTGACATGTGGACAGCAATGAAGCATCCCAATACATGGAGACCAAAAGGGGAAAGCCTCTAGACAGAACAATGCAAGAAGGCATTGGTTTGAGGTTACCCTGAGAAGGGAAATAAATACCCATTTAGGAACAGGTTGGAAGAAAAAGGCTGTGATGACGGAGCGATCTTTGAGAGAACTAAAACATCCAGGAGGGATGTGGGACCCCAGTGTAGGAGGGGCACCCCTCATCCCCCTGCCGTCAAGGATGAACACTGGTTTTGTAAGCCTATTGTTTTTGAGGGTTTTTTGTTGGGTTAGGGAGTGGAAGAATATGGTGTCTAGATTCTAGACTTATATTTCAACTTACCATTTCTTCATTGTAGTTCCTGTTATCCACTGGCATAGAACTGACAGCTTTGAAAGAGAAAAAGTATTAGAAATGACTTGAGTTCATTTTTGAAAACAATGTGAACCCAAACTGACAAAACAATCTGCACGTTACTTGTACAAAGGGGCAGAGATGGAGCTTAGTAGAGTGAAGTTGAGAAGACTTCCCTAGGGGTCAGGACATGCTGGCCCTAACCAATGGGGCAGTGACTCAAAGAGAGCAGGGGTGGGGTGTGGACTGGAGTAGAGAGGAAACGGGAGCTTCATGCTTATAAAAGAAAACAAAACTCAGCTCCCACATATGGGAAACTTTGGAGGTGATGGAAATGTTCTGTATCTTGACTGGGGTGTTGGTTATACAGGTCAAAACTTACAGAATTCTAGTCTTAAGATTGGTATATTTCACTGAATGTACATTGTACTTCAATTTAAAAGAATTTAGACTCCAGCCACATTTTGACATTCCAATGCTCTCCAAGGAAAAGATCTAGACTATTCTCTCTCAGTTTTAACTCATCCTTCCCTGTCTCCTCCAACTCTGTGATTAATGGTGTAATCAGTTTTATTTGGATATGGATAAAATTTTGCAGTTCTACAGGTATTACTAAGAATATATTTTAGGCATATATCTACATATATACATTCCTACATACTTACACATATATATTTTCCCCAAAAAACAGCATTATAACTACTTAAAGTCACCTGGCTGACAACTTTGTAAAATGAAGACACTATCTTAGGAATTCTATTTTGAGGTTCTTAAGAAATTAACTAATTTAGTACATTAGTGTTATAAAGACAGGGTGTAAGTATTGTAAGACTTAAGGCAACTGAAGGTCTTAGGCATTTTCTAAAGAGATGAATGTTCTTCATTAAATAGTTATCTGAAAGAAGAAAATGACGTCATTCAGATTTATACCACATTAACCTGCATGAAAGGCAACAATTAGGCAAAAATCACCTGGGGCAATCTGAAGCAAAATAAAGCAAATGTTGAATTTATTAGTAAATAAGAAAAGCATTTAAAGACTATCCAGCCCATCTGTGATTGGGCTTCCAACATGGGATATTTTGGAGGTCATTTCTTACATGAAGGAGGAAACAGCTGTTTATGGGTGATTGGGGGTTAGACACAGTTACTTGTGGGGTTTAGTTAGCAAAGAAGCAAGGAAGCTACTGGAATCACAAAGAGGTTGTTCTATGGAAGAAAAATAGCTATTGGATGCTCTAATTAATGATGTAAAGATTCTTTAAATGCAAATTTAAGTTCCAAGTAGAGGATGACATGCTATATTAAGGTATGTGAAAGTAGGCCAAAATGGGTTGAGGAAACAACAAAATGCTGCTGGGAGAGCTCTGAAAATAGTCCAATGTTGGGGCTATGATGGTCCATAAATGTCAGTGAAAAGTCAGGAAACCATTTGATGAACTGTTCCCTTACCCTAGTGTATAAATACACGGACATGTGCGAATATGCATGTGTACACACACACACACACACTGCTGTTTTTCCCTAGCAGTATCTTAAACATAATTTGGAAATGAATGCTATCTTAAGTCCACTGTAAATCAAATCCAGTCCCTAGATAAGGAAGACATCTGGGGTACTGGTAATGTTTCTTGATCTGGGTGCTGGTTACAGCTGTGTTCAATTTGTGAAAAATTCATTAAGTTATATACTTACGATATATGCAGTTTTCTTTACGCATATTATACTTCAATAAAGTTTAAAACAAATCAAGTCTAAATAAAACCAGGGTGCCCTTCTCAGCCCTTACTCTCTGTCCACCCAAAATGGACAAAGATCTGTGACTCCTTCTGCCTACCCCTCTCCCCAAGAAAATATCCTCCCCAAAATTCACCTCCTCTACGAAAACATGGTTATGACTATCTTACATAATTAATTACCTCCCTTTTTATCCTCAAGACTTTGCCTGAATGAGCTTGCTTATGAATCTGTACCAATGTTGTCTTTCCCTTCTCCCACGTTGTCTGAGACAATGTAAAGAACAAGGGAGGTATCTGATCCTTCCAGGGCACCATCAAGTCCATAACACCATATGAAAACAGGCGGTTAACAACCGGTTTGTGATGACACATTTAAGAGGATAAAATTTTTTATTTATTTAAATGACATGAGATTCTGCCTACTTCAAACAAGCATTTGAAGTACCTTTGTCTTCTTAGGAAACGCTTCAAGAGATTTTAATTTTCTAGTGCTATTTTTTTTTCCTCTTTCAAAGCTGCTTTGATTTTTTTTCCACTTTTTACTTTGTTCTGTGTAAGCCTTTTCCACTAGAGAAGCTCAAAGCATTTCCACGTAGGCCCGTGTCCATCCTTCTGGTACTCACTGGGAAAGACAACCATGAATATGGCTGGAGAAGCCCAGTGCAGAAAAGTACTCTAGGTCCCTGAAACAAGAGAAGAGCTAGCAGGGGATAAGAGCCAGGTCCGCAGCTTTCAGAGATGGAAGCTGCTCAAATGCAGTTGATTTATGACCAGCAACCTGATCTTTCCTCTCAAAATGCTTGCTCGCCAAGCCTCTGCTCCCCACCCCCACTAATTAATTACATATCATAGGACTCAACCAAGACATAAAACACCTACTTCATTTACTCACCTTACTAACTTTTCCTTTTCAAGGCATGAGCTGGGATCTATTTCAATTGTTTCTGGAGACCCCGGGTTATCTGGCCTGTTAGAATCACTTGCAGTGTTTGAGAAGTGGCTAACAAGCCGTGAAGGCCCTGGCATTCTTTCTGAAATGCAGTTCAGACAAGATCCAGGTGACCCTCCTTTGACTCCCGGGACTTAATATGCTGGGCCGTTCTTTTATCCCCCAAATGGCTGTTATTTGGGAAGATTCCTACATTGGCACTTGCTCTTCCCAGCTGAAAATCTGTAAAATCCCCTGGAAAGGAATAACTGTGAAAAAATTACTCCCCTCATGAACAAGAGGGTATGCTTTTTTAAAATCCAGCTTTACCAAACCTTATTTGCTAAGACAGTTCCTTGCTAATGCTTTACATTTCCCCCTACAAGTGTAAAATTGCTATCATTTAGATGCTTTTATTAATTACTGATATTGACAAATTAATAACAGTCATAAGATTTGAGGGGAGAGAAATAGCTTTCTAACTAAAGAATTTGTAGCTCATGTTTAATACTATAGAACAATTCTGTTTCTCTGATCAAGGCTCTTCACACCTTTTTTTGATGGAAAGAGAGTAGGCTCTGCTTGTGAAAGTACAGTATGCATCTTGTGGGACATCTAAGTGCCATTACATTGCTTCTAATAGAATATGTGGCAGCAAAGTAACAGCCAAAGGCATGTTGGTTACCGTTAGTTTACCTTATTTTTATATAAAGTAAGATTCAGGGGGCACAAAAGAAAACCTAATAATTAAAGTGAAGTACTCAAATAGGAGGACAATTTATAAGGAATGCCTTATGATAAATCTGAGAATAACTTCTAAAGAATTAATAGCTCATAAACTATCAAGGTTTAATACCACATTACAAATATAGCCGTAAAATTACAGGTTAAGTAAGCTCTTGCGAATGCAGAAACCATCTTACCTAGTTGAATGCAGAGAGCATGTGGTTACTTCACTCATAGTAGTATTTAGAGTACACAGCAGCTACAGTGGAAGGTTGTGGCCCTCCCTCCAGAAGCTCTTAAAGTAGGAAGTGAACCAGATGGCTTCCTGAGGTTTCCCCCAGTCCTGTGATTTTGCTAAATAACAAACTCTGCTTGAAGAATATCATGTCTCATTGCCAGGGGCTGGGGAGAGAGGAGTGGATGGGAAATGGCTGCTAAGGGGTATAGGATTTCTTTTTGGGATGATGAAAATGTTCTGAAATTTGATAGTGGTGACGGTTGCACAGTCTGTGAATATACTAAAAACCACTGAAATACATTTTAAAAGGGTGAATTTTATGGTATGTAAATTATATCTGAAAATTTTTTTAAAAGAATATAATTCTCCATTTTAGTTGCTGTTAAAATATGAAGCCTTATTAAAATATTCTTTTGCGTAAGAGAGCCGTAAGTATTTTACCAGCAGAGTTAAACAAGTCCCAGAAATGTCACTGTTTTCCTGGTCTATAGCACAATGTATAACATAGCTTAAGCCTATTAAGCAATTTCTTTCTGAAAGTGTTTCAACCACAAAGGACTCTTAATTATTCACTTGGTTTTCTTAATTAAAATTAGGCCGTTTACAGGCAATTTGTAAGAATAACTAAGACTTTCAGAAAATTCTGAAGTATGTAGCTTGCAATAAAATAAATTACCACTGGCTTTCATTTTGTATCTTTATCATTTTGATCCAGGAACGCTGTCAATGAAAGCTTCACAGTCATGGATGGGAATACCTCAGTTCTAGTTAGGAATGTCAATCTCAAATGAGAACAATTTTCTGTGAGGTCATAAAAACAGCCAAAGAAAACTTCCAGTTTATTCTAGTGGTATACTTACTTCTCAGTAGGCTCAATACCCATAGTGATTTTATTCATTTCTACACACACACACAGACACACACACTTTTCAAAACTCCAGAGAGCTCTCATTTCTTTGAGACTGAGAGTAATTTTGAAAGGTTAACTCCATAGTCTTCCACACACACAGGGTCAAATTATCTACTACTTAAAATTTTATCCTCCCAAATTGACTTAAAATTTCTTTTTTACTACTCCACAGATACTTTTGTGGTTATTTTATATTCTAGTTATTTTTGTGGAATATAAAAGTCAAACTATGTAGTGAAGTTTCCATTCATAACTAAAGAAGTGGATTAATTTGAGTTTGAAATTACCTTTCTCCAGAGACGGAAATACAAAATAGAAAAAAACAGTATATTAAGCCTGTACATACAAACACGTATTATGTATGCCCATGCTAAGAAAAACTATATATCTTATATGCATACTAGACTTACTTTTATCTCATCATGTTTATATAATAATAATGATGATGAAATTATGCAAGTGCCAGCCTACTAATATTACATGTACTCCTGTCTCTCCGTGGTCATCTGGCCTTAAACAGTCAAACAAATCTTCACCTACAGATACAGAAGCAGACTGTAATAGTCTTTCTCTAGAACCGCAGAGAGAGTATGACATCTTAGAAGTGAGCACAAAATGTGGACTTTCCTTGAAGGTGCGGGCACGTTTTCTTCTTTTCTATGGAAAACTCTCAGGCTGGGCTAGGAAGACCTCTGGCTTTCCGGGTCAGTTGGTGGGGCAGGGAAGGGAGTTTAAGGGGAGCACCTAGGGAAGAATCAAAATGAAGAACCCCAAGCAAGAAGGGAAAAGCCTCTTCCACCCAACCGCCCCTCTCTCCCAGTATCCTCCAGCAAAGATGCCTGAGCAGCCGGGAAGCCGGAGGCCGGCGCTATCCGCGGTGCTGAACTGCCCGCGGCACCCACTCACCGGCCACCACCGCGGCTCCCAGGAGGCCGAGAAGCACTGCCGGCTGCATGGCCCGGCTCGCCCGCACCTGCGCGGAGAGCGGGTGGCGGATGCACCGGTGGGACGAGGTGCAGAAGGAAGGCGAGATGGAGAGGCTCCGGGAAGCCAGCCGTGTGTCCTGGTCCCCGCGATGTGGCGCGGTTGGCGCAGACCCTGCTCTTTTAAAGGGCAGGCGGGGGCTGCAGGGCCGGGAGGGGCCGGCAGCCAGGCGGCGGAAGCCCCTAGCTCCGCTCTGACGTCACGAGGAGGCCCGGGGGCGGCGGCGGCGCAAGAAGGCGGAAATTTACGCCAGTCCAGTCGCCTGGGTGCGCTGGTTTGGAGCGTGGGTGGGTAGGAAGGCGGTGAGGGAATGGGAAGGGTGAGGGGAGGTAGTGCAGATCTAAGCCGGGAGGAGAGGCTGGGGGTCTCGCTTGGCTTGCCCAAGCTTGCTCCGCATCTCCCCGACACGCCTCCAAATCAAAAAACATGTATTTAAGGCTATGTGCGGCTATGTAGGGTTCTGGTGAAAGTGTGCATGACTAAGTCTGTTTTGTGTCTCCACTACCCACCAGAGGAACAGAACCGTGGTGGCGTAGTGGTTAAGAGTTTGGCTGCTAACCAAAAGGCTGGCAGTTCGAATCCACCAGTTTCTTTGGAAACCCTGTGGGGCAGTTCTACTCTGTCCTATAGGGTCACCATGGGTCAGAATTGACTTGGCGGCAACGAGTTTGGTTTTGGAAGGAGAAAGAACTAAATGGTTGGGGAAAATGGAAACGGGAGCGACTGATGGTTTTAAAAATAAAGGTGCAGCCAGAGACTACAGGACCTGCTATTTCTTCAAACTAAATATTCTTTATATTTATCTTGGAAACCCTATGTGGCAGTTCTACCCTGTCCTATAGGGTCGCTATGAGTGGGAACCAACTCGATGACACCTAACAACAACATCTATCTACCTGTCTGTCTGTCTGTCTGTCATGACTCTCTCTTTGAATACACAACATATACACATAATTAAAAAATATGTATCAGACAGTACAGAAGGATTTACTGTAACAGTCTCCCTTCTATCTCTATCTCCCTCAAGTTCCCAATTCCCCTCTGCGTAGTCAACAAGACTTGACCACTCTCTGTTGCTTCGACTCAATTTATTTTTGTGACATATATTTGCACCTTCTTTTGAATGGCTGCACTGCATTACATTGAATGAGCATACCAGAATTTATTTAACCAATCCTCTTTCCGATAGGTATTTATTTAGGTTGTTACCTTTTGGCCTTTACTCCTTTACAACAGAGCAATAGTCCCAGGGGCTGGTAATGGCATAAGTGATTTTGATTTTTCTTGCACTGTGGGAAATAAACTTGCTTGTAGGAACTAGTACATTCTACAAGCCCTGTGCATCCTCTCTTGCTTTAAAATTGAGATAGGAAAGTATTTTATTATTATGTGTTACAGGAAGGTGAAAACAGTTTCCAGAATATACTTAACATGGATTCCCTCAGCCTAATAAAGAATTGAGGAAAAAGCTGCAGGCAAGTGCCCTGCACAGAAGAGAAACAATCCAGAATCTTCTCTGATAGTACAGGCTTTGGGGAACAGAGTGAGACTTCACCTGGGGTGTCTTTCAGAGAAGGAAAATGTTTGAATACATAGCTAAAAGAAATTTGATTTCCTTTTCTTGAAAATTAATGAGGCTCAAATTCTTTTTTGCATGTGCTGAATAGATGGCTATGTCTTCCGGAAAAGGCTGGGAATTATTTGCCAAGACCACAGCCACAGAATATTTAAAAGAATAGTGTTAAAAATGATGTTAGTGGGAGAACTGGTAAAATTTCAATAAGATCTGTAGATTGTATAATATATTGTATCAATGTTAATTTCCTGATTTTGAGAATTGTACTATGGTTATGTAAGAGAATGTCCTTGTTTTTAGGACGCACACATTGAAGTATCTAGAGGTAAAGTATCATGTGTACAACTTTCAAATATTTTTGGAAAAATATGTAAAGATAGAGTTAGAGAGAGAGAGAATACTAAAGCATGTGTGGTAAAATGTTAACATTTGGGAAATTGAACTGAAAAGCATATAGAAATTTTTTATACTTTTTACATTTTTCTGAAATTATTTTAAAACAAACAGAAAAGAATGTCTTGTCACAAGAGTCTGTTAAAACCTTTTTAAAGCAATGGGTCCAGAAAAGGGAGGTGCTGAGTAAGTACCCTTCCTTGGGTACAGATCTGTGAGAAGTTCTTCTTCTACAGTTGAAACTATATAAAGCAATCCCACTCCTAGGAAAATATCCTAGAGAAATAAGAGCTGTCACACAAGTAGACATATATACACCCGTGTTCACTGCAGCATTGTTCACAATAGCAAAAAGATGGAAACAACCTAGATGCCCACCAACAGATGAATGGACATACAAACTATGGTACAACACACAATGGAGTAATATGCAACGATAAAGAACAATGATGAATCTGTGAAGCATCTCATAACATGGATGAAACTGGAGGACATTATGCTGAGTGAAATAAGTCAATCACAAAAGGACAAAT